TTAGTTTGGTTAAATAATATGGGATATAATTGCATCCACTATAATGTGTAACAAACCAAAAGTAGTTGGCATTAGCCCATACCAACTAAAGGTGTCATATATGTACATAATCTGTTTTTTTTCCCCCTCGTTACTAGAAGAACAGAGGTGCATGCGAGAACTCTGAACGAGTAAAGTTAAAAATATATTCTCAGAAAATTTGAACTTTCAAGAGGAGCTATAGTCTTACCACCTACTAAAATTTAAATGTAATTTTGCATGATTCTGAGAATTTAGGAGGGCTAGACTCCTCGCCATCAATGTAGCTCCGCCACTAACGAGAAAGTAGGTACTTCGTTCGACTATACAAGCTATTTACATGGATAATATATCATTTATCCTTATTTTTATTATTATAAAATAAATGAGTGGAAGCAGAACAAACAAAGCTCTACCAAAAATTAGTAGGTATCCGAGATACAATCTGGGCCCTCACTCCCTTAACTATAACAAAACTAAATCTAGTAAAAATGTACACGGAACACGGCCATCCGAACCTCTAACATCCTGAAAAATGGATAATTTCTGAACCCTAACATTGATAATATAAGAGTTCCAAAACCCTAACGAAATTCTCCATTGCGATTCTCTGGCTAATTATTATTCATTCATTTGAGCGAAGCTTTTACCTTTAATTGCTTTTAATGGAACTAAAATCCAAATGAATTACTTTCCTTCCCCACTTATCGCTTTGCAGAGAAGTTATAGCTTGATTCGTCTGGAAGTGGTGTCTATAAGTTAGGGCATTTAACCATTCGAAGAAATTACGACCAAAAGAGGCTCATCGGTTCTTGTAGCCTACAGTGGTACTCGATCTCTTGTGTTTGGTAATCGCCCAATTAATAGTGTTTCCCAGCTGGATCCAGAAAATGAAAAAATGGAGCCACTTATATATGCATCTACCAACCTACCCTACCATGCAAACTAGCTTAGGGGGTGGAAGGAAATAAATGACAAATGAGGAGTTAAAGGAAGGTTTAATTATGATATTTTGGAGTTTGGCTACCGTGGAGAAGATAGGTTTGGTATTCATTCGTATGCGAGAATGTGCTCAAAAGCCACAGGTAGGGCTGCAAATGAGTTGAGCCGAGTCGAGTTTTACCCTAGTTTGAGCTCAGTTCGTTAATAAACGAACTGAGCTGAGTCGAGTCGAGTCGAGTTAACCCCAGTTTGAGTTCGGCTCGTTAATAAACGAGTTGAGCCGAGTCAAAACGAGTTGAGTCGAGTCAAATCGAGCTCGAACTAGCATGTTTATTAAAATCTTGACTTTTATTTGATACTTCATTTTGTATATCATGCTACATATGATTAATTTTGTTAGCTAATATCATATTATACTTTGTTGTTATCATATATCATTTTGTTAAAAAAATTTAACTACTCCAAATCATGCTATTTCATTGTATCGAAGCAATCTATGATACATAATTTCTTTTTAAAGTAGAAAATAAGATATATATGCTCACATACTCAACGTGTTAAACTTTAAATATGTTGAGATATATAATTTAACAACCATATGCATTAAAATTATAAGATATAAATTGATTCGTCCATAAGTTGGTAATCGAGTTGGCTCTCTAGCCACATGTTGAGACATATCATGAGCTCTAAACGAGCCAGCTCACGAGTTTAGCTCATTAAGCCACCGAGTCGAGCTAGCTCACGAGCTTCACGAGCTGAACAAAGCTTAGTTCGTGTTCGGCTCGTTTATTAACGAGCCGAGTTTCGAACGAGCTTTTCTCGAGTCGAACGCCGATCTGCTCGCGAGCAGCTCGACTCATTTGCAGCCCTAGCCACAAGTGGGGTGTTTAAATGGAGTGGTTATCGTGGTAACTGTTTTAATCAATAGTATTTGGATAATTTGGTTTGGTTAATTTGAATAATTGGTTTGGTTTAATTTTTTAATTTGTATGGTTTAAGTGGTTTGGTTTCAGAAACTCCTAACTGATGAAACCAAATTAACCAGTTAAGTAACTAGTCATTTATCTAATATACTATATACACATATTTAATACTTTGTATAGCCACTCAAGAGTCAAATGTAAGATATTATCATTAGTTACATGCATTTATATTAAAGATTAACTATAATTATGTGTTAATTGTTATGAGTATTCATTATATAAATTACAAATTGATGCAATAACCAGAAATTTTTCCCACTTAACGATAATGTGATAGTATATTGATTATTTTGGTTAACCAATTAATCAAACCGACTAAACTTTACTTTGGTTAATTTGGATGTTGTATTAGTTTGGACGGTGTGATTATGATATTGTATTTCATGGCTAATTGAATTTAGTTTTATTTGGCTTGATAATTATCATAATAACCATTTGAACACCCCTACCTAACAAGTAGTTGAATCGTGCACGAGCGCCTACTATTCGTAGGAGGGTTATCTTGGTGCGCGATCAAACAATTCCAAGTGTCCATGGACACGTTCTTACATATGGGTTTGATAATATTTTAGCGAATTATGGTGAGTTCTGTATAAGTAGCTAGAGGGAAGAAATTATCATTGGATCGGCTATTTAGTTGTTTATCTTTGTTGAATTGAAGACTGTGCCTATGAATTATGATGGTGTTTGTTAGTAAGATTGTTCCTCTATGATTTTAAATATTTCTAGAACCAGCCCTCCATTTTGCATGGTAATCGAATTGCGTCAAATTTGCATGGTCTAAGAAATCCTAAAATGATTAGCTCTTACAAGAAAATTAATTTTTTGCATAACATATTTTAGGAGCTAAATTATTTTATGTGGGCCAAGAAGTTAATTTTGAAGGTTATTGTGTTTGAACCTTTCAGAGATCAAATTAATTTTTTGCATAACATATTTTAGGAGCTGAAAGGTTGAAATACAATAAATGGGCATCATTTGGTAATTTTCCAATTTAGTAAAGTATGCTTTTTTTAAGCTTATGTCATTTAGTTCCGTAAAGTCAATAGGAAAGGAAAATAGGTTAACTATATTTGATCTCTGCTTACGTTTAAGAAGGTTAGGAAGGTTTGCCTAAACTAAGATATCTTAAACTTTCGTCTTAGAGTTTGAAGGTACGATAACATTGTAAGATCTCGTAGAATTATCATGTCTCACGGTAAACAATCAAATATGTACCCTCAAATGTCAAGTAACAACGAAGTCAAGTGAACGTAGAAGCCAAAAGTCATTTGCATCAATATTTTTGATTCACCACAACAATTGAATTATCCGGCACTGTCAACCTGATAACTCAACTGGTTCATTGGTGTATCCACAATTTTATATATTTAAAAATTAAAGTTGATGATTAGCCTCGTATATAAGTTTGGGACACCTTGCACTACACTTTGAAGTATTGGTGTTTTGAGATACAAATTGAACTTGTACCATAACATTAAGACTACAAATCTAGTTTGTATCATAAAGGACTTTCATCTTTATGATACGGTACAAATTCAGTTTGTAACATAACATAAAAGTACACCTTCAGTTTACCTGATAAATGAATATGTAAAAATAGGTACCGTTACAAACTAAAATTCACACCATAACTTTGAATATAAGAGTTCAGTTTGTACTATAATGTTTTTAGGGTAATGTCTATTTTTTATTCAAACATTTTTCAGATTCTTTTATATCATCCAAACCTACCGAAATACTAAAAATTAGCCAAATGTTAACTTTTAGCTAGCAATTTTGTTAGTAATATTCACTTGACAACATGATACTGACTTGGAAGAGGCACTACATTACAAAATTTTAGTATTTTAACTGATAAAAAAGTTACAAAATTAGTAACGATATCGTAAAAATGGTTAATATTTTGATGCGTTATGAAAGATTTGGCTAATCAATATCATTTTAATAGGTTTGGATAATATAAAATAATTTAAATAAAAAATAGAAATTACCCAAATTTTTATGCAAACCAAAACATACATATTATAACTATATAACTTTGGGGTTGGCACCATTTAATGGATCGACCGGCCTGACAAAGGAATCTCATCAATCGTCCGCCATTGTTCCACGCCGTATCATCCATCGTCGTCAGTGCCAGCTTCCACCCGTCCATCATTAATATCCTCGTATTTCTGTTTCTTACATTTTTCAATCCCCTTTATTACGTTGTAAACATCGAAACTAATTATCTTGGGGGGGAAAAACACAAAATTCACATATATAATTTTTGGCTCAGACATTTTGATTAATCCTAAGTAAGGACTTCGTCTTACACATCCATCCTCTCACACGCTCGAACGTAAGATCCAGCTCAGCATAATGATTCCCCAAGTAATCATTCCAATTAATTGCCGCTTACCCACTAATTATCTTTCTAATCGACAGCAAGAGTTTGATTATCGTGGAAATGTGTTGGGAACGAAATTCTTGTTAATTAGTTACTAATTAATTTGGTTGGTTGGTTAATTAATTGAGTTGGTAGATATTAACAAGGAGGAACGTGTGTGTGTGACTGTAGTGGTACTGGAATTCGGTTCCAGTTTTCGTCGGAGTTTAAATTCCCGCGTAGGCTGACTTCGCAAGTAACTAATTTAATTTCCAGTTGTTTATTTCATTGTCGCGTCGCAGTTATTAGCGGTAATATTATCCTATTTTCAAGATCCAACCCTCAAATGTGGCATATGGTGAAACATTTTATTGTTTATTTATTTACAGGTTAATTACAGCTTTTCAGCTAATTTCTCCTAATTAATGTCTAATTGTAAATAAGCATTTGAGATAGAGGATCATGGCGTAAATCAAACAATTGTGTCAAATAAATGTGTCAATAATTACATATTTGTTTAATCCAATTTACAAGCCTCACGAGTCAATTTCATCGAAGAGGATCCGATCCGTTCCCTCGTGCCATCACCTCAAATTAGAAACAAAAAAATGACTGAGATTACAAAGTTCCAATGGTTTTATTTGATCCTTGTTTCAAAGCTCAATTAAAAGAAATAAATTACCACATTAAAATGCAATTTAATTCTTCACTGCCATAATTTCATTACAAAAATGTGGGGATTCTATGATCGAATCAGTTTGCTATTAGTATTCAAAGATTGCAGATCTTAAGAGCGAATATCGGTACCAGTCTTAACATCGGATTTGTAATTGCTTAGTATTGTGATTTGTGATTAAACTTTCTTTCTCTGCCTTTTTCGTGCCTGGAATTAGAAACTTCAGAGTTCAGCAATCAACGTTAATGAAGGAGAAGAATCATTATCAGTTTATCACCAACACGACCATCATATGAAACCTCGCCATCATCAACTCATCTAGGGGTAAAATTGTAATACACCCTTAAATGGGTGACATCCTCCACCAAGAGAGAGGGATTCATTTTCCATGGAATCTTCCTTCTAATATATTTACACTCTTTTGTCATTCCCAAACTACCCTCAGCTCACTCCGGTATAGCGCTCAACATCGCCGCAAACTTCTTCTCACTGCCGCTGCTCCCCCGTCTCCTACTCCTCCCCCCACCGGCGGCGCCGCCGTCGCCAGCAGACGCTCTCCGCCGGTGCTTCCCGACATCACCCTCCCCAGAAAACAACAACTCCGTCGATTTCCGTCGACACCCAGATTTATCGCAGACGCCGCCGCCGCCGCCGCCGGCGGCGGAGGTCTTCATCAATGCGGAGCTGGCCTTCACGGCCAATGCGGCCATTTCCTCCGGCTGCAGAGGGTGTCGGAGCCAGGCAACGGGGAGGGCGAAGTAGAGCTGCCCCGGCTGCAACTCCTCCTCGTCGTCCACCGCCAACACGACGTCGTCGAACTCCATCTCGTCGGCGTTGCATATGAAGTGCGGCGCGTGGGTATCAATCATCCGCAAGACGAACGAAGCCTTGACCGGATAAGAGAACTCCTGGAGCCTGCCGTCCTGGAGAATCAGCTTCGCCGTCGACGCGCCGCCTCCGGCGACGCGTGTGGAATCGCAGGATCGGCAGTTACCCATTTCGTATCGGAATCGATAAAGATGGAAGCTTTACCGGAATCTGAATGATGGGATCTTGTTTATTCGGTCAAGGAAATTAAATTGGGTTTGGATCGGAGGAGGGGAAGAAGGGATGGCGAGAGCGTGGAGAAATGGAAGGGGAGGTTATATAGGGGGAGAGGAAATGGAAGGAGATGCCTCGTGAGATGTGCCGTGGGTGCCACGTAGGAAAATGACAATTTGTCGTGTTTTGGGACAGGGAAATTGGAGTTTTTATTTTATTTTCTTTTTTTGAGTAATAATAATAAGATTATATTATGGAGGAGAGATGTGATGAAGAAGAAAGAAGAAGGTGTTGGGGCAAATGCGATGCAATAGAACAGAAGAGAGAGAGAGAGAGAGCAGTGGGGAGGACAATGCCAGGCTGTATGGTGTTGGAATACAGGTTGTCTTTTGTGTACCACTTACTACTCTTTCTACTGCTACTCAATACTCATCGTGTCGTTTCGCACCGAATTAGCCTTGGTAATTTTTGTTTTTTTTTTCATCGAATGACAAAATGGTAACATTTTGTTTAGAGACGGCAATGATTTGTATTATTAACCAAAGTAGAAAGAAGTGTATTCAACTTTGAAAAAATCATGCTAGGATGACTTGGTTCGATAAGTTTGTAAAATCGTATTGTATTGATGGTTTTATCGAAGAAGTTTCGTATACGAGTTGAATTATATTTAAACCACGATTTTAGTATAAAGCATCCTACTGGTGAATTTTTCTGTTACAATTTCCGGTACGATTTTACAATTTTTTTTTATTATCGAATGGATGCAACTGCATCCTACCTCGATTTTACAATCTTTGATAATAAGTAAGCTATCTAAATTTTTTGGAGATGTGTTTCGGTTTATAAAAATCAAGAGAACAATTAAAATTAAATAGTTACGATAAATTCTAATACATAGAGTATATAATTTGTTTGTTTTTCACATCGAGCTACAACATCCTTTTTTTATCAAATGGATGCAACTTGCACCCTACTTTTCATTCAAATCCACCCGTGGTTCGGATTCCATTATAATCGTACATATACCAGTTACAAAAAATGGAATCTGAAAGAGGGAAAACATGAATACCCAAGGATACAGAATGCCCTCTACTCGCTATGTAGTCTGCACACTTATTACCTTATCTGTATATGTGGGTAACGAAACATCACATACATGTCTCTGAAGCAGCTCACAACAACATTTTATATTATGAAATCTTTGTGTGATATAATCATCACTTATTTTTCAATTCAAATAACTTTTAATGTGTAGAACCACAAAATCGTTTGATAAACTAGCTACTAATATGATTTTGATGATTGTTTTTATTACATTCATAGTGAAAGAAACAATTTAACCGCTTGAAGTTGCAAACAGTCGGTTTAAAATTGTAAAGTTGGGTCAAATATTAAGATTCCAAATCAACACATATTACCCATTGCTCAAATTTTCTACATCGAGAGTAAAAGTAGGAAGGATATTTTTGTCTTCAAAACTACTTATTTCTTTCTTATTTATTCATAAAAATATATACATATGAGGATTTGAACCATGACCATTTTTAAAAGAACAAAGGGCTACAGGTCTACAACCAATCACACTACATATATTTGTTGTATCTTTTAAAAGAAAAATATACACAACATAAAATCTCAAAAATCAGAAGACCCTTTCAGCGGTTAGCTAGCAACTAAATCTCTCATAAGTACTTATTTGCTGATTCGACCTTCGACTTTCATATTTTTTATTATTTTTATTGTATTTTAATACTTAATTTATATTATAAACAGAGGGTAACTTTAAATTTTCAACCCATATATCACTTGGTTGAATATTGCATATAAACTAAGAGTATTAAATAGGTCGAAGCAATGATAAAATTTTAAATTAGTATTAATTTTTAGAATTAACTATGAAGAAATAATATCCTTATGCAGACTATATGGGACTGGTTTTTTTACGTTTTAGCCGAGTTAACTGCTAAGCTTTCAACATGTTCTGAATCGGGCATGATTAGATCTAATGATCATTGTACGAGATTGAGTTTAATTATTGGTTCATTTCACCATTTTTTGTCATGTTAATGAATTTCTAGGGCAATGACATATGTCTACGTCTAAACACAATACAATATATAAGAGTGGAATTAGAAAAGTATTTTCCCGATTTAAATTCCTACAACGAGAGCGAAAGTGTGAATGATATATTTGCCTTCACAATTACTAAACTTATTTATTTGTAGAAAGTAAACAAGTATTGAATTTGAACCAATGTATCTTCCAAAAAAGACAAGAATCATAAGTCTGATTGTCAACCCAAGTTTGACATGGTAGGGCGAATCAGTTTTGCCCAAACCCGAGTATTTGTTTGGATATTGGAGGCCCAGTTGGTTATCAACCCAAACTTGGTCAAACTAAGAAAATCATTTGAATTAGGAAATCGAGTTGATTCAACTAACTCATCTAAGCACTGAGTCACTTCAAACCAACATCATTTTCAACAAATCTAATCACTACCTCTGTTTGACATGTCGTCCTTTTCCTTATCAAACACCCATGCAACAACACACATCAACCACCCGTGTTCGGTTATTCCTTAATATCTTTTCCTCCTTTAGTACTGGCAGACAACAATACAAGTCCCAATCATCTCAAAAGCCAACACAGTTGCTTAGTAGTCAATTCCATTTCCCTTCCAGCAACAAGGTCATATCGCCAATCAACCACATCTCAAACAAAGAATAAGCCACAAGATTAGACGAACATATATTTGGATTGAGACTTGGTGTGATTAACAAAGACCAATGTACTCATTTGTATATATACATGAAATCGAATTGGAGAAGAAGAGTAAGAACATTGAGAATGAAATATGATATGCAATGAAAAGAAGCAAAGAAAAAACTAGAAAATGAAATGGAAAAAGATAAAAAGAAAGAGGGAAGAGATTTAGAATTAAAGCGTCATTTTAAAGCATCAGTTCCAAGTGAGAGAAAAGTATAAAAATGAAACTCAATTTCAACGAATAAGTTATATTAAATCGTCATTGTATCTAGATTTATCATAGAAATTTCATAAATATCTAAGCATAATACATGTGAAATCAATAAAATTTTCATGCACCTGGGTAAAGCTAGACTTAACCAGGTTAATCCAATTCATCCATTAATCATTAACCGACTTGCTTAAACGATAATTAAAAAGTCTTATTGGGAAAGTGATACGTTAGCGTTGGATGTGGTGGTGAATGAACAACTAATGCCAAATGTGGCCTAAAAAATTCCCTCCACTATGAATTGCAAAAAATAAAATTCCTTCCCTAACCCAATTTATTACCAGTCAAATCATATTTGGCAATATCACACAAATAAACGACTATTTAGTTTGAGTCTAAATTAGACCTATTACATTGGTTTAAAAAAAAATATAAACTCTAATGTAATTTTTGCTTTTTTTTTGTATAACAAACATAAATGTGGAAACACCGATAATGAAGGTGTGAATTAGTTTAATGTGAATAGCTAGATGGTCGATATTTCTTTATATGTATAATTATATGAACTCAAATTGTGGGCTCGACCCAAATAAATGTTTTTCTGCTCTAGCTCTCTCCTCTATTCCATAATTAGTAAAGTAATCCAATCAATGGGCCGGGTCAAAACTAGTTTTTATATTGATTACCCATGAATTTTTCACCGATTATGACACATCTCCTCCACCTCACCTAGGTCCACCGTGGGTGTGATGTAAGTTGCCTTGCATTTGAAAATTGTAATCAACTCAATGCATGTTCATCTAGGAAGCAAATTAAAACCATTAATTCCGATAAGTTAATCGGTAGTAAGCATAAAATATCTTTTTTTTTTGTTATGAATACCATAAAATATCTGGAAAAAATCCCAAGTTACACATGTTTTTGAAAAAAAATCTCAAAATACACACGTTATGAAAATAATTCCCAATCTACGCATGTTTGGGCCATCACCGCTGTCGACGAAGACAGTGATTGCATCACCGCTGTCGACGAAGACACTGATAGCATCACTGCAGTACACGGCCGCGGTGAAGGCCTGACCTGCGTCGAAACTTTAAACAAACGTAACTTTGTGCTCGGTTATCCGATCGTAGCGAATTTTTTTTTTGATTCCGCATAATTTTTCGAGATCTTGCAAGCCACAAATTGCCGTAGGCGGTGTGGTCCCACCTTCGTCTCGAAAATATGTCGTTTGCTACCCCGAACGAGCCTTTTTTCGATTTCGTCAAACTTTGAACGACCATAACTTTGTGCTCCACAATCCGAAAATCATAATTTTTTTTTTTTGATTTCGCATAACTTTTTAAGGACTACAATTTTTATCATAGACATATTTTCGGAATGTACTTGGATTCCTGAAAAGGAAGGTAAAGTTATTCCCAAAACCCCTTATATCCATAAATAATTCATTTTTTGAAAATTCTCTCCTACTAAAAATTGTAGTCCTTAAAAAGTTATGCGAAATCAAAAAACAATTCATGATTTTCGGATTGTGGAGCACAAAGTTATGGTCGTTCAATGTTTGACGAAATCGAAAAAAGGCTCGTTCGGGGTAGCAAACGACATATTTTCAAGACGAAGGCGGGACCAAACCGCCTACGGCAATTTGCAGCTTGCAAGATCTCGAAAAATTATGCGGAATCAAAAATAATTTTGCTACGATCGGATAACCGAGCACAAAGTTACGTTTGTTTAAAGTTTCGACGCAGGTCAGGCCTTCACCGCGACCGTGTACTGCAGTGATGCAATCACTGTCTTCGTCAACAGCGGTGATGCAATCACTGTCTTCGTCGACAGCAGTGATGCAATCACTGTCTTCGTCGACAACGGTGATGCAATCACTGTCTTCGTCGACAGCGGTGATGGCCCAAACATGCGTAGATTGAGAATTATTTTCATAACGTGTGTATTTTGAGAATTTTTTTTAAAAACATGTGTAACTTGGGATTTTTTCCAAAATATCTTTGATGAAAAGAAAAAAAAGCATAAAATATCGAAAGCAAAAGAATTGCACGTACAGATCAAAACAGAAGGGGAAGGGAATAAACTTTTGAATCT